CTGGCGGAGTGCCGAAAGGAACCTGGACAAACGTAAGGTATGATTAAACACTTCAATGAATTATCGAACCAGTAATCTGCTCCAGTATAAGCTCTGATGAATCCCAGAGTTTCCACAATCCTAGAATTTCTCCAATAAGTATCCAGCAACTGGTATGCTCCGATTTAATGTCTATTGGTCCTAGAGATTCCTAATTCCTAATTCCTACCTTGGGACAAAATTTGAAATGTTTATTATATTAAAGTTTCAGGGCATAGTACGATATTTTTTCTTAATCGGAAATCGGGATTTTTTATTAGCGATTGTTTTATTGAAAAAATCACTACCAAAATTTCATGAAAAAATATTCATTATCAACAAAGTTATGACAACTCAAAAATTCGAAAACTCACACAGCTAACAGTCACAAAAAACCCCCTATATCAACAGATATAGCCATGAGAATTTTTTTTTATGATTTCAACAATAAAGTGCCGCCAGATGAAAAAAAACAAATAGCGTAAATATTTTTAATGAAAATAACGGAATTACATTCAAGATTTCACGCAAATTAACTAAAACTAAGACCTAATATTTCAATTCAAATCTTAGTTGCCATGGAAATGATATTACAGTTTGACACTTGTGAAAGATTTAAGTGTACTATTGTCAACAATATTCACCTTACAGTTCTTCGAATTATTTTGTGTCATGGCTGCAAGATTGAGCATAAGAGAGAAAATGAAATTGTACGCCTTTCGGGAGATGACGTTAGAAGTGCTAGAGAGGTTTGTAGAGTATTTAATGAGAGACATCCAGATCGTCCTCGTATTAGCTGCGGTACGGTAAATAAAATAAATAAAATATTCAATGAAACTGGTGCAGTATCAAAAATGATGTTAAAAAGTAATCCTGTACAAAGACGAAACAGGAATGACAGAAATGATCAAATTATTTTAGATTATCTCGGAAATGATCCTAATGCCAGTATAAGCAATACCACTTTAGATTTGAATATTCCAAGAGAAACTATTCGGAGATGTCTCAAGGCGAAGAATATTAAATCTTTCAAGCCAAAATTTTTACACACACTTCAAGAAGGCGACGAAGCAAGACGCCTGGAATATTGTTTATGGGCCCAAGGAAATATTTAAACAATAGAATTTTCCTGAAAAATATTTTATATACCGACGAAGCCACTTTCACTACAAATGGTGTAGTGTCATCACAGAATTATCGCTGTTGGGCAGCGGATAATCCTAACTGGGTAATAAACTGTAAAACCCAGTATTCCCAAAAAATCAACGTCTGGTGTGGGATTCTGAATGAACGAATGATTGGTCCTTTCTTTTTTGAGGAAAACATTAATGCGCAGAGGTTTCTAGAATTTTCAAACACAGAGTTTTGGTATGCTATTCACGAGCTGCCAATCACTGAACGATCAAATTTAATTATCCACTTAGTTGGGTGTTAAGTTCATTATGCCAGAGCTGTGAGGCAATGGCCTAACGAACATTTTCCAAACCGATGGATAGGCCGTGGTAGTCCGTCAATAAAAAAATCGCTATAAAAAAATCCCGAATAAACATTTCAAATTTTGTCCCAAGGTAGACCTTTTAGTACTTGACATTAAAAAAAAATATTGAAATCGATTTACAACTTCAAATTTTAGGGGGTGTTTCCATTAAAAATGGGTCACACTGTAGAATCGTTGCGGCTTTTGAAGTAAAATCATAGGTGGAGAGTTAAAAGAGGGTTTCATGCTGATGATGTAGTTCAAGGTCATGTGACATGCATGCATCTCGAAGCCAAGTCATAGGCGGAGAGTGGAAAAAGGGTTTCATGGTCAGTGTGGTCAAATAAAGCGGCCATAGACAACAATTTGTTCCAAACCATCAGTTAATTGGAATGCATTTCAACAATATTCAATGATTTCACACGACCTTGAACTATGTGAATGTCATATGACCTTGAAGACCCTGAACGACCTTGAGCTATGAGTACGTCATATGACGTAAGCATAAAGTTAGACCTTGACGACCGACTTTGTCCTTGATACATGACCTTGAATGAAACCACATAGAATAACTTTGGATTGGGGTGATACAAAAAATCTGATGCAAAAGTTAACCTCGACGAATTCCAGAAATACATCAATATAATTTCACAATTAATCTCTTCCCCTTCCTCATAGAAACAAAGAATTGTCATTCAGAAGAATCATATATTTCTCAAATAGATAATGCCTGAATAAGATATTCAGAAGAAAGGGATCCAAACATGCACTTATTCTACATTGATGGATTGATCTTATAATCACACAAATCCCCACCACTCCAATCCAAAGTAATTCTATGAGGTTTCATTAAACGTAACTCAAGCTCAAGGTCATGTATCAAGAACAAAGTCGATCTGTCAAAATCAAATTCAATTTTCAAGGTCGCAACTAAAGATCGCATGACGTCATTAAACGTACCTACTCCAAGATCCCATGTCTCCCAAGGTCAAGTTACGTCATTAAAGGTCATATTGCATCGTTCAAGGTCAATATGAGGGTGTCCAGTTCCGGCATTAGACAACTACTGAAGTACAAAATTTGTTTTCAACATCGGTGACGACATATTCTACACTCTGAGGCTGAATTCTTCTCATTTGAGATAACTTTCGATTGAACACTTTGTCATGGATATCTGAATTATTCAACTGCTTCCAAACATTTTTCTTTTTCCCATGAAATCGAATATCTTTACTTAATTGTTGGACAAATCCCCGTACTTTACGTCTGTATTCTCTAAATGCCATAATATTACTAATTTTTGTTTACCAACGACGTATGGAACATCGTTTTCCTCCCATTCTCATATTGAATGTAACTGACTGATGATGTACAATTATTCAAACACGAAAACGGCTACGACAATGACGACGAAACGATAACGAATATACGCACGCAAAACGGACGAAACTCACGCAAAACGGACGAAACTCACGCAAAACGGTCGAAACGCACGTAAAACGATCAAAACGTGCAAAACAAGGTATATTGAAATTTCATTGTCGAATACTTCGCTCCCCCATAGCCCCCACCTTCGGACGTTAACTCCACATGTAACTCTGCGACACTTTTAAATAAATATATACGTTTCGCATTGGGATCGCACATTGAAACGCTACAACACTTCTGTTGAACTGACATATTTTTTTCTTAAATGGTGTATTTTGAATCGACCTGTACATAAATTGTTTTTTCTGAAATTGTGTATTTTGAGATACCCTGTACACACTGAGGGATCGCACGGTGAAACGTTAAACTGTCATATCCATTTCTTAAATGATGTATTTTGAGACTCCCTGTATACTCCTCTGAATGTCTGTTACATTGCCGCCATGTTTTTTTCTTCAATCTGATCATTCATTCATCATTATTGATATATCACTTTCGCACTTTCAATATATAATTTTTAATTTTTATAATTCCATCCTTCTCTGTTTTCATTCATTTATCACACTGAATCGTCAATGACAGCCAACAAATCAACTGCTATAATCAACAATTCGCAATTACTTCTAGTATTCCACGTTGATGTCGAGGCTAATGACAAAGCCTACCACGCCGACGTCGTGGGTACGATTCTCATACCGTTTTTTTTAATTAGGACCACGTGACTGGTGCGGGACAAGGGGGCCCGAGAGGTGAGATGGAGTCCCAAAAGGGCCCGAGGAGTGGGACGGAGAACCTCGAGTTAGGTGTTCCACAAGGTTCGCTCGGATGTCATGAAAATTGCAAAAAGTTTAGCTTCATAAGAAAATACATGGGATTTTGAGCCAGAACCGGTGTTGTTATCTACTTAAACAGATCATACTGTGAGTAAGTTTATGAACGCAGGCCTGAGGCGGAATCACAGAACATATTTTAGTTCTTATATTCCTCTGTAACAGAACATAGGTTAATTGAATGTTTGACGGTGATTGACAATGTTTCGTGGTGCATTTCATTAGTTCGCACTTCCATTGTCCAATATGATATAAAATCATTTGAAATCCCTGAAAGAATCAACGAAATTAAAAAGAAAAATATCAGTTATATTAAGCAAAAAAACTGAAATTACAATAAAATACAAGCAAAAATTGAAAATTGAACAATTAACAAGAAATGAACATTAAAATTGAAAGATTTCAAGCCAAGTTACTTCACGACGTTTCGATTGTTAGTATCCTCAATCGTCTTTGGGTGATGACTGGACTTATTTATAGATCAATCAAGTGCTTTTAACCATCCTCTCTTTCCTCTCTCCACTCCATCGGTTTTATCGGGAACTGATCGTTTGGCGGAAGTTGGCCATTTTTCGCTTGATTATGGGTTTCCATATGTTGCGTATCTCTATGATAGCTTGACTGAATACATTGTTGGACAACATGTATGCAGCTTCTATGAATTTTTCCCTAAATCAATGATTTCAGCTTGAGAACACTTGATATTATGTTGATGAGTCCAAACATGCTCTGCTATTTCTGATTTGCTATTTTTTCCTCGCTATGTGTGTTTCTTGTGCTCGACAATGCAAACTTTCAATTACCTCTCAGTTACACCGATGTAGGATTCTCCGCACTTGCAGAGTACTTATCCGGTAAATGCAATTCTTGGAATCGCAGTCCGCGTTTGATGGCCTGATTTCCGTGAGGCTGCTACAACAGCAGCCTCACGAAACTGGAGAAAATTCCAGTTATGTTCTGAAGACGATTGTGGATACTAACAATCGAAACATCGTAAAGTAACTTAGCTTGAAATCTTTTAACTAATTTTAATTTTCATTTCTTGTTAAATGTTCAATTTTCAATTGTTGCTTGCTTCATTCTAATTTCAGTTTTTTTGCTTAATATAATTGTTATTTTTTCAGCTAATCTTTTTAATTTTATTGATTCTTCAGAGATTTCAAATCATTTTATATCATTTTAGACAATAGAAGTCCGAACTAATGAAATGCACCGAATAATTGGTGTTCTGTCACAGAACACTTACTGACACAGAACTTCTGTGTCAGTAATGTCAGTGCATTAATAAATAAATGTTTGTTTTCTTCAATGTTTTTGGGGTTCAGAATTCACTTAATAAATCTCTTCAAAAATTGTAGTTAATTAAAAATCATATAGATATGTTATGATTGAAAAAAGGAAACCTCCGGAATATACAGAGGTTATGTTCGAACTCTGTATTTCTTGAACAACTTAAAAATAATATCAAACTAGATTACGATGATCCCTCCTGTTGCTCCAGGGCAAGCAGAAGAGAAAAAAAATATGGTCGGCTGGGTAAGATTTGGAAATATTTTTCCTGTTTAGAGTATATTATATTTGTACAAAAAATATCAGATTTCCATATTATTTACTCATTCCAAGATGGTAAAATAATTTTTCAGTGCCTCTGTGAAAAGAATCGTCCAAAAAATGGTGTTAATTTACCATTGAATATAGTTAGTCTGTTGTTCATAACATCTATGTATCATATTTTCAGAAAAATACTTTCAACATGCGACAAATAAGTTTAATGAACCTGGCAGCTAGTCAGTTAGGAGTCAAAAACGGCACAAAATCTGTTATTCCATCTCACAGAAGAGCATATAGTGTTACAAGCCCTTCAAAATCTTTGGATATTTTACGAAAAAACCTACAGAGTGCTATTAATAAAGAGATTGATAATGTTCTGAAAAAGTATATTGAGGTATGTACACAGTGATCAGTGTAATCAATTTCATGTGTTATTCCTGTCAATATTTATAAATGAAAAAGTGAATTCAATAAACTTTACTTAAAACTGATATTTATAGTAGATTGGATAAAACTGAAAGTTATGTTATCTTGTTTTATGATGGTGCAGTCTAGAATTTGGCATTGGATCATTACTGAACATCCAAGCTTTTGCTTACTGTACCCTACAATTATTATCATTGATCTTTTGTGGATATTTGATATTATTGTTGAAAATCCATTTTTGTGACGAATATTTTATTGATTTTTTTTTGAGAGTTATTGATGTCCATAATCTTAATTGAACTAGGTTAATAAAAAATCTAAGAAACTAATCAATGCAGTTTATTGTATGATTTTCACCATAAAGGGTTTTACAAAAACCGTGACACGTATTTCGCTATACAATATCTTCCTCAAGCATAAGAGTTATCTATCTATCTATGCTTGAGGAAGCTATTGTATAGCGAAATACCTGTCGCGATTTTTGTAAAACCCTTTATAGAGAAAATCATACAATAAACTGTATTGATTAGTTTTTTAATATGGATTTTCATCAAGTATCGGCCAGTTCTATTCAAAAATCTAAGAGATCATTGGAAAACTCAAATGTTGCTTAAGTATTTGACTGAAAATTTCTGGAATCTTGGCACTGAATTTTTCAATTTTATTCAAAGATGAACTTATAAATAAATATACCACCACCAGTTTGATAAGGGTTTATGATAGTTCAATTCCAAATGAAAAATGTTTTCAGAAATTTTTTCAACCAGCCATCAATAATATTAAAAACAACTTGGGTAAGGACAGTGTTGGAGAGGAACATATCAAAGAAGTATGTAAGCAGATGTTGGAAGATGCTAAGTTGATGTATAAAATTTCACCAAGTTCTCGAGATAGTTCACCATATGAGTGCAGCCATAGTGAAGCAGAATCAGAAACAAGTGTTACAGATGGAAGATTGGGAGGAGCAGTGAGTTTTTGAATTTAATACCTGGATAAGTATCGGGATACAAACAATTCCAGCAATGTTAGGACTGATTAGGATAATTTCCTATTTACATATTGATTTTTTCAATATTCTACAATATTTTTTCTGTGACTACTTTCATTGGTTATGAAAAATGAGAAATTTTCTATGTTTTCACTACTTTTATATAAAAGTGGATTTTCATTTCTCACTTTTAATGATGATCTCCTACATCCATCAATTTATTTTAATCTGTTAGTTTAGAGTGAATTCCTGCAAGTTATTTCAATTACTCAATTAAATTAAGTACCCCTTTTACTACCAACAGTGGTGTTTAGATATATAAGGGTTAATATTATTAATTATTTTCAGTTTATTGTATTGTTTTGAAAATGTTCTTATACGACGAAACTGCAGTAAAGTTAGCTTCTAATAAAAGTGAAAAAAAAAACATAGGAAGATTTTTTTCTCATTTTTCATGGACGACAAAGATCTCTTGAAACAAATTCTTTCATATAAACATTGAATTACACAAAAGAGAAAATACTTTCGAAACAACTGTTTAAAAAAATAATCTGTTTTTCCGTTAATCAGCTGTCGCCCCCATACGAACGACAACTCTCAGAAGTTGAGAAACTTGTGCGAGCTAAGGACTAACGAGGTCTTACCTTTTAACGTGTGATTCTCAACACGGTTGCAGAATCATTCCAGCTTCAACCAGATAAATTCTCTCGAGAAAAATATCTGGTCGAGGCAGGAATCGAACCCACGGTCTTCCGATTGTGAGTCGGGCGCACTACCACCCCAGCCAATTCCTCATATGAACTATATGAACATTGAATTATACAAAACACATTTTTTTGTATCCAGTTTGTACTCCAAACATTCATTATATACTTGAATTAGATAGCATTCACAGGATTGGTACATAAATTACGACCTTATGTCACCAATGAGTCAAATCTACTCATGTCATCGATAACAGTACGTAATGACATTAATTTGCTCATTTGATCTGATCCTAGCCATAGAAATCTTATTTTAATTGAAAGGGGGATATTTTCAGGAGAGATTACTTTTTAGGAAAGAATGATTGTGGCTTTCTACTCCTCCATCTACATTTTGTAATAATTTCAGAGATAAATAAATATTCTTTCTTCTTTACCATTCAAGATAATTGAAAGATAATCAGAATCAGCAAGAAGGTTCAGATATGGAATTTATTTTGTACTTGATAGATAGATTAATTATAAATAGATGTCCTAATATACATAAAGGTTATACAAAAAAGATCAGTTATTAAACAAAATAAAACAAAATAAACTAAAATATATAAGACCTATATAGTAGAATATAGTGTGTAAAAACGTAGCAGTAGTAAATGATAAAGAGATTAGTAGAGAGAATAATGATGAACAACTCAGTTGGAATAATAGTGTGCTCCTAGATATTCAGATAAGGAGCGTTTGAAGAGTTGGAGGGTGTCATTTCGTTTAATTTCATTAGGAAGCTACTTATAGTCCAAAAATCCTCTATGAAATATAGAGTTCATTGTTCTTGCAATATTTGTTCATGGGATAACCAAGTCATGTCTTCCGCTTGTATCGTATTTGTGAATCTCATGGTTATATGTAATGAATTAATTGAAGTAATGTGGTGCTTTTCCAGTGAGTATTTTAAATATGAATGAAGATCATAGAAAAATATTGTAATCTATCTTTTACTGTCATTCAATTCAGATTATTAATCATTGATAGGATAGGATAGGAATAATATCAAGCAAATGCACAACTCATAGAACAGCTGAGTGAAATTATGGAGATTAATAGAATACTTCAAGTGGAAAATGAAAAATTGCGAAAAAAAAAATTGATGACATGAGTGCATCCAACTTCCATTCTGATAATTTAGACCTATTAGTACCTTACTGCCAATAGAGAAGGTTTTAGAAATAGCAATTATATTTATCAGTCAATCTGGTTTTCGAAAGAAACATTCTTGCGAAACATTCAGTTATCGCTAATTAAATTTACTAATGAAACAGATAAAGGTTAATATTTTGTAGCTGTCTTTTTAGATTTTAAAAGAATTTTTAAAAAGATGGATAGGAAGTATTTTGCTGAGAAGATATGGGATTGAGGGGATGGTTTATGAATGGTTAAGTAATTATTCAACAAATAGGAAACAGAGAGTACGTGTAAACGATTATTTCTCATCATATGTAACAAGTCACAGGAGTACCACAAGGTAGTGTACTTGGTCCCCTATTATTCATTCTGTATCTGAATGATATACAATTATTTACAGACTGTGAGTTCATCAACTTATTTGCAGATGATACCTCATTGGCCTGTACTGGAGTAAATTTAGAAGAAACTGTTGGCAGAATGAATACATTTTTAGAGAAGCTAGAAAAATATCTGAAAACCAACAAAATGAAACTCAACGTTAAAAAAACTGAAGCAATGATAATCACTACTAAATTCAAATATAATCAAATAAATACAAACAACATAAATATAAAAATTGAAGATGATCTTATAGGAATAGTAACATCAGTGAAGTATTTGGGATTTCAACTTGATAATTGCTCATCATTCAATGACCACGTCAAGTATATTGGAAAAAGATAGCAAAAAAATTATATTTTTTTCTTGAGAATCACTAAATACTTATCAACAGATACAAAAATTTTGGTATATAAATCAATAATCGAACCCCATTTCGACTACTGCGCATTTATTTTATTCTCTATTAATTTGAACAAAGTGCAACAAATACAAAACCTTCAAAATCAGGGAATGAGAATTTTAAAATTGTATAGGTATACACCAATTTCTACTATGCTATCTGCTCTACAATGGTTCTCAGTATCCCAAAGATTATTCTATTGTTCCATGGTGTCCATTTATGAAATATTGAATAAAATGACCCCAACAGATTTGTTATCAATAAGGACATTCATCACCATTCTAGTAGACGCAACAGTCACATTCATATAAATAAAACAAATACAAGAAGTAGTATGAGCAATTTATTCTTCAAAGGTTTTGTCTGATCCACTAATTTTCCTGATTCCATTAAATCGACCCCATCATTGAATATTTTCAAAAGTGAACTTTTAAAACATATTCATGATGGAAATTGAATGTTTCTTTTTGTTCAGTTCAAATAATGTATGTATATATAGTTGTATTATTTGTATAAATTTAGGTGATTATACTATACTTTGAGTTAGCTAACCTGTATATCAGGAAATCCTAATTCAATAAATTTTTCTTCTTCTTTAAATAATATAGGAGTATACTTATGGCATTTTAATAACAAGCGCATTCCTCTGTTTTGTAACTTTTGTAGAGTAGGAATAGAACTACCGATTTTCATTTTGTAAAATGAATAAGGCTTCATCTGTACTATTCAGAATAACTTTCAATGGACTATTTTTGTTAGCATCAAATTTACGTAATCGATAGGTTTCTTCACGGTGACTTCTGCCGAGAATGATGATTATATTTGTTGATTATGATTATATTTGTTGCCCTAACCTGTCTCTTTTGGATTTCTTGAAATATGTTGTTGATATTATAGTCTTTAGTATAGTTTCCATTCCTGATAATTTCATGAAGTATTTAATTTTCTTCAATTAGTTTCTTATTAATTTCCAAGGCTTCATTCATCCAGTTAAGCAACTAATTTTTGAACTTTCTCGAAGTCTACTTTACAAGAACGGCAAAAATATATCATATTGTGTTTTCTCAAAGCAAGAACCCTGATTTTAGAGGTATAAAGATCAACGTATTTTTCATGATGCTAGATAGAGCAGCAGTCACAAATTATGAACGAATCTTTCTCCATAATGTCCAAATTACATTTGTCACAAACTGCATTTTCATCCATCTCCACTCGTAAATCTTCCTGGGACCCTGACATAATTTTTGGTATATGTAGATATTGAAAAAGAGATAATAGTAACTTTTTGCTTGGGTCTGTTTTTATTGTATCAAAATGAGTATGATACGTATAAAATCAACGATCTAAACTTTCTTGATTGAGGAGCACACATAAAGATCTGTTCACTTCAAAGGTCAAACTTAAGCTATGTTGTTGCAGATGACCTACCTTTGACTGAGACGAGTCAATATCCATACCGAATTCAGTGTGAAAGAAACTTCTATCAAAGAATGTAAAACTTCACGACTGGTTCTCTCTGAGAAGACAACAAGAACTTTACGTCTGTTACCTCATCGCATTTGATAATGCCAACCGCAGTCTGATAAAAACCTGTAGTCCACAGCCAAGGATCCCGGAAAATAGCTTCGACGCAGCTTTGACTTTATTCAGTGATGTTTTCTGGGTTCTTATCCTTTCCCAATTTGAAAAAACAAATAGAAACAGATTAACAGGTTTTGTTATCGGAATCGGACTACTTTCTAAATTATCAGCTATTCTGAAAACTTGAGTATTACCTAATATAATAAACTGCTCAGAGCTTTTGAATTACATGATGATGAAGTAACTCTTTTATGATGAATTCATAACCTTTTCACGCACAAGTCCACACTCAGTGATTATACCTTCCTGATTTTAAACTTTCTTTTCATCAACTGATTGCATTCATTAAAAAAATTGAACTTCATACTTATGCTGATTGAGATTTTTGGAACTCTTTCTTGTAGAAGTAGTGGAATAGTGGAATAAACTTGGGTGGATCATTATCACAGATATGTAATGTTCAGTAACTTATTCCCTATTTTCAGAGTCCTGTTACACAATATAAAAGAAAAGAATGTGACGTGGATGCAGAATTGATATCAACCCAATCTTTTGCTCCTACAGTAAAACGTCATAGAAATAAATCTCACCATTCAACAGATTATAGTAGCTGCAAACTGTCGCTAAAACGAGATGGTCCCAAATGGAATCCAGATCGAGTTAGAGGAAATACACTCTTTATTATGGGAGCGAGAGCCAATAAAGTTTTAGGTTATGGCCAAACAAGGGGCAGGTTATACGTGAGGCATCCCAATTTGGTGAGGTAAGGAAAAACTAAGTTGTTTCTAAAGAATAAAGTATTTTTAATTCTGAATTCTTGAAGTCAAATTTATAAACTAAATTTCACCTATAGTAAGTGGGGCCCACTTGAAGACTGGCAATACTCACCTATACAGTAGGTTTATGAACTGATACCTATCAGAAAACAAGTACTTCCCTGTCTGATTCCACGAAGAGCATTGAATTATATCTGACAGGTGTCAGTGCAGGATTAATTAAAGGAAATCATCGATTTCGTGTTTATGTAGGACATGTGTGATTGATGACTTGTTTATTTTGTGGTAATTCATGATCACTTTAATGAAATGAATGAAAACACTTGTGTCTAATTACCACTAGTTGATTTTATTTATGTGACCTGTTTCGGGTTTGACCCCATCATCAACTAGCGGTAATTAGACAAAAGTGTTTTCATTCATTTCATCAAAGTATTTATGTAGGACACTACCTTGCACTGATAAGACGTCAAATGCTCCAAAACCGGTCTGCAAGTGTGCCCGTTACAATAACTGAAAATCAATTCAGACAAATGTATTGCAGGAATTACTTCTGTGAAGAATCCTGCATTGACACCTGCTGGGTATAATCCAACGCCCTTCGTGGTATTAGCCAGGGTAGTAGTTGTTTCCTGATAGGTGTCACTCCAAAAAGCTACTGTGTAGGTAAGGGAAGACTGGCCTGAACTAATTGTTCCCTTAGATAATTTGTATTTACTAAATAATATTATTGGGGAAGTTTTTGGCCTTCTACTTCTCCATCCTGATACAAAAAATGTGGAAATCTTCTGAAGAAAGGAAGGAATCAATTTCAAAAAATGTATGTTATCAATTTCAAAAAATGTATGTTATTTACGTACTATCGTCGATGACATGGGTGGATTCGATCTATTCCGTGACAAAAAGTCGTAATAATGAATGCATTGAGTGTTTTTTATAATGTTATCCGTATTTGCCTCTGAAGAGCCGATAAGGAAACTGTCTTGCGACGAAACATCGGATGTCTAGCAGTGATGATGACAGTGTTCCATGTAAGTGAAATGTTATTGCTTTCATAATTGTATTGTGTAGAAATCCTGTGAATGATATCTGATTTGATTCCATTACGAATATAATTCATGTCATTGTTTCAATAGTTTGAAACAAAATATAGATATAATATTTGTGAATCCCATTTCATGTGTCGATCGATCATTAGGCCAAGGTATTTAATTGAGGTACTTTCTGGAATCAATAAGTTTTCATTGATAACTAATGAATCTATGTTCGGTAGTTTATTGGCATAAGAGGTAAATGGTAGATATTTTGTTTTTTCTACGTTCAAGCTCAATTTGTTATATTGAAACCATTTCATGATGTTTTTGAAATTACTTTCTGATTTCATCTTGAGATCTTGCCATGTCTCCGCATTATAAAAGATTGCTGTGTCGTCAGCAAAACTGAGAATGTTTCCTCCTGAATGCATTTTTAATAAACTATTTATATAGATAATGAATAGTATTGGACCCAAGACAGTACCTTGCGGAACTCCGTAAGTAATTGTTCTCGGACTACTTTTTTCCATCGATGTCAACTATTTGTCTTCGATTATTCAGGTAGGAATAAAACAGTTCATATGCTCTGCCCCGTATGCCGATATTTTATAATTTCCCGAGGAATCTTTTATGGCAAACAGTATCGAACGCTTTCGATAGGTCAAAAAAAATACATAATGCAGGTTTTGATAAATCCAACGATTTGTAAATTTCTGATGTTAAAGTGAATATAGCATCCTCTGTCGACCTCCCCTCCCTGAATCCGTACAGCTGTTCTGACAGAAGCTTGAATTTTTGAAGGAATCCAGTTAATCTTATTTTAATAATTTTTTCAAAAATGTTTGCTATATTAGAAATTAATGATATTGGTCTGTAATTAGCAATCTCAAGTGTATCTCCATTTTTGGTTTGACGGTGGTGGTTTAATGACACCAATTTTTAAAATATCTGGAAAAATTCCGTTTTCTAAGGACCCATTGGCAATGTAGGTGAGAGGGTCTACAATTAGCTCTGAAATATTTTTCAACATTTGCGTGTTTATGCCATCATTCCCTGGACTTTTATTTGTTTTTAAATTCTTTCTTTCTCCGCATTTGTTGGATACATGAATATACTTTTGTCTTGACGTTCTATAATTTCCTCAAATGCTATCGGTGCATCAATTTTGTTTGCGAGTTTGTACCCTACTTAGCTGTAGTGTTCATTAAATGCATTTGAAATTTCTAGCTCTTCATAAATCATATTTTGGTTCTCCAATCTAATTTCATCAATATGTCTTTGTGGTCTCTTTTTGTTAGACTTCATCTACACATTTCCATAGAGCTTTGGACTTATTTTGATTTCTCTTTATTTCATTTTGAAAAAAAAATTTTTTGTTGCTTTGATAAGGTTTCTCACTTTATTTTTACAATCATTATAAAGTCTTTTAGTTTGTACATCGTCAGGATTATCCCGTGAACGTTTGATTAATAATGTTTTTGTGATATGAATGTTGATATTCCTTGTGTTATCCATTTCTTTCTAATAATAATTTTGTTTTTAACTCTTATTTCATTGGTATTTTTATTAATATAAAACTTCAGTTTGTTGATACATATTTCACACTTTATATTGACATTATTCTCTTCATAGATGTTATTCCATATTTCGTTTTGTAAATCTAATTTCAATTGCGGATAGTTGATGTATTTTTTTATTCTTTTCATTGTATTACTTGTCTTATTACCCCCTAGTTCTACCATTAGAGCTATAGGTCGATGATCACTTATCTGATCTTGGAAAATGAATGACTCAATGTGTATTGGTTTCAACGAAGAAATGGTTTGACATGTAGAACTATCTGGCCGTGTTACTGCATTTATACAGGCTGATTCACGGTGGATGGCACATTAGACGTTTCTGGTGAACCAGACAACGGATCACTTTGAAAATTTAATGGAGGGCATATTCGGACATTCTCTAGCCAACTAAAATATTTTCGACAATGC